GGATCCAGTACACAGGTGGAGGCACTTACAGCCCTCATGGCCTTGTCCACATCCCCAGGGGCAACATCCTGAAACTCAACCGCGCATCCTACCCCATCCCCTTATCCTTCCATAGGAGCCTGAACTCCTGGCTCTGCCTGTTGGCCTGGAGACACAATGGCTGAGTTCCATGCTAGAGGTGGCATGGAACTGAAGACTGGCAACAAGAAATTTACTCTTTCCCTGTTATGATAGGTTGCTTTAGCTCATTCAAATGGACAATTGATTTTATAGACTCATAGAGTTGGAAGGGGCCCACTGTCCAGGGCCGCAATCCTCAGCTTATCCCAGGTAAAAGGTTGTCCAACTTTTAATTGAAACCTCCAGTGATGGATCAACCACAACTTTAGGAAACTAGCTGATTCAATATTTAATAGCTCTCATGCTATCCTCACAAAATGCACGCAGGATAAGTTCAGGAAAATGATTGTGGATAGTGCTAGCTTCGTTTCCCTTTCCACCAAACATCACCAGCTGCCTTAATAAGTGATAGGGAGGAGGAGAAGGCAGGTTCTAACAGATGATTATACGATTAAGTTTAACTGTCAAAACTTGCTCAGGTTTTGCAGAGAGGTTTTGAATGAGTGTGATCAAAGGGAACTCATCAGCTAATAGCAAGGTTTTGTGTTGTTCCAGAATAGCACTATTCTGGAAAACAACAACATTCTAGAACAGCATTAAATAATTTCAAAAAGACTGGAAAACATTTAAGAGCTCAGGCTGAAGTGACACATTGCAGTGACAGAGCTCCTTTCCACATTACTTTTTATGCTTTATTAATAATGATACATAGCTAGGAAAATATTTCTGTAAATACTTAACTATTGCTATCTGTATTTATATTATATATATGCATAGAGAGAGAGTTCATAATGTACAAAGAGACCCTTCTCAAAGGGCTTTCAAATGCTTTTTTATTGGGTGAGGAAAGCTAGGTAAATAATACATGCTTTAAATAAGTAAAAAAAATGTATTCATTTTACATGTATTTTAATTTTTAGGAAACTGATTTCCTTTGTCTTGATGGTGAAGAATATGTTTTTGAAAATGAAGACAGCATATTAAATCACCGTGCTGAAGAAAATGAGCATGATGTATCTCTCTACACTAATGGTGAAGACTCAGACTTTAATATGCCCGAGGATGAAATCATGAAGCTCCCAGATACTTCTATCCCAAAAGAATATAGCAAGACAGATCAAGAGGAGTCTAGCCATCAAGAGGATCCAATCACCCAGGTTCTGAATCCGGTCCCAATTCAGTCAGCGTGGACTGTTTCTGGTATCGCAGGTTGGCTTGGTTTGGGAAGGGAAGAAAATAAGGAAGTTTTTGGAAAATCCTCAGAGATTTCGGAACAAATTACATTTAGGCGTAGAAAAATAGCAATTGCTGACAATGCTGATACTAAAAAACTACCCAAAGAGAGTAAAATGGAGCCACGTAACTGGTTTCAGAGCAGTTTGACAGATTTGCTTCATTTTGGAAATGAAAAATCAGGACATGATCTGCTGTACAAAGATGGCAATCCAGATCTCCATAGCAGTTCCAATACTGCTTCTAATAGTGGCCACCTTGGCAGAACTGCAGCTTCCAAAGCAAGAATAGGGAAACTTAGTGATAATGAACTGTCTGAATCAAACTGGTTTGATCTGAAGTTCAGTGATATTTTTGGGTACGCTCAAAAAGAAAAAGGACAGCTTGCAAACAGAGGAGTAGATCAAAATGAAGACCCACAGCCTCCTAATATAAAACCGGTACCAGTGGAGGATGGTTTGAGAGAAGCAGCAGTAGAGCAAATGCTTTATGAAGAACAAAGCAAATATGTTAAAAAGAACATAGAGCAAACACCTACATCGGTAGTAGATGAAGAGAAAGAAAAATATCATGAAGAAATTACCAACCCAGATATTACAGATACAGAAGTTCTTCTACAAAATGAACATCCTAATTTCATGAATACAGAAGCTGCTTCTTTTTCCACTAAACTTGCTGAAAATCTAAAATCTTTCAGTACAGAACAAGATTCAGAATCAGGGAGCCAAATTACTGAAAATACTCCGGAGTCAGAAAGAATAAAAAGCCAGTCAGGTTTGTATGAAAGCATATATAATAATATAATTGCAGTTAATAAGGCCCATATCAGTTAATCGGCTAGGACACGAGTCTCCAGCTATTCAAAGCTCAGTTGTAGAGCAGCTTCCATCTTCCCACAATATAGATAATTTTGTTCCATTAGATACCCAAACTGCAGGAGAAGAAAATTTAAAAGGCTCTAAAAAGCTCCAGTTTTTTTACTCTGTTAGCTATTTTACAAATGCACTAGATTTTTAGTATGATGGGGTAAAGAAAATGCAAACACTTTGGCGATAGATCTAAAATCTAATGAGTACAACTGACAATACGGAAACAGCATTTTCTACAGATAAAAAATAAAATAAAAGCAATTCCTACTAAATCAGAATATTATCAAAAATTAGAAAATCAGAATACTGATACTTCTCAGGAAAATTTTCTCTTCTTTAGCAGCAAAAGCTAGTGAAAAAAAAAATAGAAACTTTGAAAATGGTGAATAAGTAGAAGTTAATAAACCACGCTGCTGGTGAATTCTAAGTGAAAATACTATCTTTCCTATCAATGTATACAAATAACTAATTATAAAAAGAGTCAGGATAGAAAAGGAAGAGTTTGGAAATATAGAAACACTTTAATCCAGAAAATATGATTATTCACAGTCGAGAATTCAAGAAACAGTCTCATCTAGAGGTAGAAAATGTTAATTCACTACCAGAGCAACAAGCTATGAAAAAAAAAGTGCTGGGAAAATAGCTGGACCACATAAAATATAACAAATGAAAAAATCACTTTTGCAGGTGTCAGAAATCGGTAGAAAGAATGTCTAAAAGTATGCAAAAAAAATTAACATTAGTTTGGAAATGCATGAAAAAATGTTTTTCAAAGACCTAGATGAACCCTTAAGAAATTTTCCACAGTGCAAGGATATTTAGATGACAATGAAATATCTAGTGCTGTTTTAGACAGTGGGAAATCAGCTATTATAGAGGGAAGAAAAGAAAATTTATTAGAAAGAAGACTTATAATAGAAAAGACAGGAAATAGAGATCAAAAAGCCAAAAATACCAATGAAGAGTATTGTAATGAAGATTTTAATGAAAATGACTTCAATGATGCTGCAGATATTAAAGCAAGCTATGTTCATAATGAAAAAGAAAAACAAGGAGTTACTTAGGATGCAAGGAAATTAGCTCAGTCACCATTTTCTATTTGTTTTTCTCCAGATTCAGTCATACATTCTGAAATACAGTACAGTGAAGCTGAAGAGCTCCAGTGCATTTCTTCTTTTAGCCGCTATAAAGATCTCTTTAGTTTTCAGAACTTTCCAGATAAAACCATAAATTCTTTGCAAGAAATTAAAAGAACTAAGGCTAAAAATAGCCAATCTAAAAATAGTGTTAAATCACTACAGAAAAACAAAGAAATAGAAAATATGTTAAATCAGAAAACAGCAAATCTGAAGGAAGATATTTTTAACAAAGATATTTTTTTATTTTCACCAACAATGCAAAACAATGCAGGCAGTACAAATGTAGCAAAAGATGCTAAGTTATTATCAGAAACAATTTTTCCTTCATCTGAAAAACATTTTTCAGAATGTGTAATAGATCCTTTATTACAGGATCAAAAAACATGTGATAAAAACTTTGACAAACCACACAAAAGCTCAGAATTACAACTTAGTCTGCAAAGATCAACAAAACAGTATAAATCTGTGAAGAGAGCTTCCTTATCTAGAAAACAATACATAAACAAAATTAAATATTTAAATCTAAAAGATTTGGATGAAAGTACACCTGCCATATGTTACACTGATGTCATGAAGAAAACTGAGATTTCAGAACCATTGGTAGGTTTGTATTCAGAAAAATATGATATACAAGAAGATGTTATAGATTCTAATAAAGACAATACATTTGTTGAGGTGAAGAATGTAGTAAGCATATCACCTGGTACTGTGAAATTTTCCCCCACAAGTTACAACAAAGACTATTTGCAGAACAAAAGTTTAACTAAAGGAAGTATGAATCAGTTTTCTCAAAAAAGAGCAAAAGTACAAATTCATGTATCAAAACAAATTTTGCAATTGTCTATTGACAATCAACAAAGTAGCAAAAAGGTGCAAAAAAATGAAAAGTATCCAAATAACTTAAAGCAGGAAGGGATATCTCCATTCATTGCAGGTAAAGAACTATTTCAATGTGAAAAAGAATTTTATGGACTTGTCAAACATAATTTGAATTTTGTCACTCATAGTGTGGAAAAGAAATACTTTCAGGATCCACAAATGCAGATAGGTAAAAGAAGCAATGAAGTAAACAGTTCAGAAATAATAGAAGAATATTATGATAGTGCTCAAAGTTGTGATGTTTCTTCATTACCAAAAACTATTGAAAATTATGCTCCCCAAAAACAAACTATCTCAGATTATCCTGATTCTCATACTTTTTCTAAGAAAAGTATTCGTTTACTACACATGTATGAAAGTCAGATATATTCAAAAGAAGGTAAAAACGAATTAAAAAGCAAACAAAAGATATTAGCTCATGTTGATCAATCAGATAAGGAGAAAAGCATTATAACAGGTACAAGGCCTGATAGAAAGCATATAAATAAGGTAGAATATACCACAAAAACATATTTAACACCTAATTTAGAAAACAAGATTAAAATTTTAACTCAACATAAGAAAAAAGATGGCATTTTAAATACTGGAGATACCGAACCTGAATTTCAGCAAGAAATAGTACCACTAATGTTACCTGTACTAGTAGCAGGATCTCAGAAGAAAAATAAACACAGTTTAATCATTGACTATAATAATTTACTTCTTAAAAAGCATGGCTTATTAGACCCTTTTGTCAGTGAAGATCTAGTGCAACATTTAGACATTCAGAAGGAAGATTCCAAATCAGATCTTAGTATTAATTTAAAGCTTGTTGAAGAATCAAAAAAGATTCTTCAAGCAAGTATTTGTGTAGAAGAACTGCAGCAACTAGAGCAAGGGTTTGAAAAGCTTCAGTACAATATCTCCACTTCTCCATGTGAAGCTATTTACAAGAAAATAAAGCAAGCAACAACTTTGGTGGAACATCAACATAAATTAAATATTGGACATGAGAAATGTATGAAGACCAAAATGCATTTACTGCGAGAAGACCCAGGTCTTATGTGGGATATCAGAAACAACTGTGGAAGGCAAAAGACAGAATCAGGTACTAGGCCACTGTTTGGGTAATAAAAGTAGATAAACCAAAAATTCCTGGAAATGTTTGCTTTTAAACAAAGCAAAGAGGCTCTATTTTTTTTTAGGCAGAATGCAACAACAACAAAAAAAATGATGACTATTTTACACTGGCAGAACTTCAAGATAATATCCTACTCCAGGGGTGTCAAACTCAAGGCCCAACGGCTAAATCCAGCCCATGGGGTGCTTATATCTGGCTCTCAGGACCACCCTGGAAAGAGCAAAGGACCAGCCTGGGTGCCTCTGCCAGTGAAAATGGAGCCTGGGAGGGGCGTATGGGTCTCCTCGGGCACCGTTTTTGCTGGCAGAGCGCTGCAGGAGGCTGTCACGCCCAAAAACGGGGCCTAGGAGAACTGAGAGCTCAGTTTTCCCTGGCAGAAGGCTAGCAAAATAAACTAAAAACAAAAGGAGAAATGTTTCCATTTTTGCATTTGATCATGCAAGAAGGGACAGGAAAGAAGAAAGGGAAAGAGGAAAGACAAAGAAAAAAAGGAAAGATGGGAAGAGAGCAAGGAAGGAAAGAGGAAAAGGAAGAAAGGAGAATGAAGTCGGAAGGAGAAAGAAAAGGAAGGAAGAATGGAAGGAAGAACGGAAGGAAGGAAGGAAGGAAGGAAGGAAGGAAGGAAGGAAGGAAGGAAGGAAGGAGATTATAATGAGAGTGAAGGAGGTGAAGTCCTGCCTTAGCACTTGGCCACCACAGTTGCTCCTGACACAAGTGACAACAAGCTGGCCACGACCACTCTGGCCATACCTGCCCTGGCTACACCCACAAACACAAACACAACCCTGATGTGTCCCTCAAGGAAATTGAGTTTGACACCCCTGCCCTACTTCTAAGTGTAATATTATTATTTTGGATGAAGCAACCTGATTTAAAATAAAAAAACAAACGGATTTTTCAATCATTAGAAAAAGTACAATATTTTCACAATATAAGGATAATTTTAGCAGATGTATTATTTATACATGACTTGGACTATTAAATGCATTGTAGTTCTTAATCATTTGGATTTTAATTATATATATATTAGAAAAGAACACTACATTTAATTCTTCTGCATCAGTCTGGAAATCAGGACTTTAATATTTTTTTTGTCATAATAGTAAACATAAGATAAAGACTTCCAAATGTGAACAAGTCAAGTGGAATGCTCTAGAATCATTCCCACAATTCTGAAAATTCTCTTTTATTTTAATTTTCTCACCCCCCCTTTTTTATAAGGCATATTATTTCATATTCATAAGCCTGATAAATAATAGCTGTCATTATATTCAAAAAATTATCCTGATTTTTAGGACCTTCTAAATGTCTTGATAGTGATAATGGCTTGGACTTTAACAATTATTAGGAATGTTTTGCTTATATGGATTTAGTCCCCAAGTACTTTCACTCAAAAATCAGTTCTGATTCTGGGACATTCTTGGGAATGATGCCATTATTGTATATGCTTGTTGTTCATTACTGAGGAAAAATCTAGGTGTTATCTGGTTCCAAATATGGTGCTCTAAATATTGTTAAAAAAAACAAAAACCCAAAGGTGATTTGCTTAAGCTGGGTTGAGCATAATGTATGGATCCAGCCATTTTGCTTTTAAATGATGATTTTTGAGTCTTAACATATTGAGCAAGCCCAACTATGTTTATATATTATAGTTGAACAGTGTCATGGCATGATTTGTGAATCCAGATTCATGGTAATCTTAATTAAACAAAATTATTTTTAATCACTATAATGGAAATGAAAAAATAATTAAATGCAGGATGAGGTGAAAATTGAAAAGGACTACCTAATCTATTTCATGCTTGTTAATTCCTCCCCACCTGCTCCCAGGTTCAAAGATATCTGTAAGTGTATATATGGTTACAGTTTACTTAGCTATTGAAGTTTAAATTGTTATCTGATACTTTACAGCACATCCAATAAATATTCAGTCAGAAATGCTTCAGTACCCAAGTAAATGGATAGAGGACTGCTACTTTCAAATATAATTTTATTTATATATTTTTCAGATTTATTTGTCACCCATCTCACTTTGAGATGACTCAAGGTGGCAAATTTTAGCAATTTAGCATAAATTCTAATAATAAAATTCATTTTTTCTAAATTATTTTCTTGTTAACTTTCAGTCAAAAAACTGTGGAAAAGCCCATATTTTTTCCAAGATATAAGATAATGATGCAGAATACAACCAGTTAAAATGTCTTATAAATTAAATATATAATATATAATTCTTTGCAGATAATGGGAAATTACCTGGCAATGGTCTCAAAGAAAAAAATCCTTTGAATTCAAATAAGGAAGCTCAGAATGATCAGTATTCTGAAAAAAACACCCCTCCCACAAATAGTAAGAAAAAGCCAAATGCTTCAGGAAAAAAATATCTAGATCAACAGGACGTCAAAGAAGAAGTACAAGAGAACAATCTAATGAATCAAAGTTGCATCATTAGTAATGGTGAGCAAACTTAATCTAAATGTTAAAAGACCAGATTTTAAAAAATATTTCATCTGTAAAGATAATAGATAAGAACTGTTTTTTCTTTCTTTTTCTTGTGCATGAAACAGAAAATAAATGGCTACTTCAGATAATCCCGAATATCAATACATTCTGTGCCATTATAACTTCTATTTTTTCATCTATGATACCTAGAGGTAACAAGGTAAGTTTCTTTAATATGAGTCTAGTTTCTGATGCTAATGCTAATCATAAAAAAATGTAGTATGGCTACCATGTCCAGGTAGCCAAAAATGTGGACAGACATCAGTAAAGAGACACATCATGTTCTGGCTCTCTATTGTTCTCTCATGTTTTTCAAGATTTTTGAAGTTCATGTATGACAATTTTTTAAAATATTTATTTAATATTTAAAATGTTGCTCATAATGCCTTTTAAGCTTATATTTTTTAAGATAGTTAAAGGTAGATGTAGTTTGTCTTATGGACCTGAACTACAATTCAAATTATAATTAACATATTTCACTTTTACTAAATTAAATGTAAATCATTTATGTTGGACAGCTGTTAGTGTTTGGTATCAGAAACCAAGTATTACGACCCAGGTCACCTAGGTAGAGGCAGGCTTCCATATTGCTCTATTTATTCCACAAGAAATGGACCTACAACTTAGCTAGAAATAATTTAATGCCTTTATAGCATCTTATTAACTTCTCATTCCACAAATGAGGAAAGATGTATATGATATAGTTAAACTTTGTAATGGAAAATGAGACTTTGAATGTTTTTATCTAAAAGATACCAACCTGTTCTGCCACATAGTCGTTGTATTAGATGCTTTCCTAGTATATACTTTCCAAATATTAGATGCTTTTTTATTTTTCAATTTGTGAGTTGGGGGAGGTTGCTTCAGTTAATTTTTCTATTATTTCTATCATATAATGTCAAGAGTATGAAATGTTGGTTTCTATTTTGGGTGGAAAAACAAATCTATGCATAGACAAACACACACATCTGTAATTTTCGAACTATAATACACACTTCCCCCACACAAAAATGGGTGGAAATGTCTGTGCGTCTTATACTCTGAATGTTGTGGCGATAGGTGGGAGGGGCTTGGTGCGGTGCCAACCAGCTGTTCTAGAACGGGCTACGGCGATGGTGAACGGTCCGTGGCAGTGGCAAATGGGTGGCAGCAAATAGGCCAGATGAATACCAGATGGATGCTGGGAGGCAGAAGCAGATTTCCCCTCCTTGTTTTTCTCCCCAAAAGCTAGGTGCGTCTTATAGTCTGGAGCGTCTGATAGTCCAAAAAATATGGTACATAAATCCATGGCTAATATGTTGTATTCATGCTATGCATCTCAGTTCCCCCGTAGCATAAATTCACTGATAATTTCCTACCTTTTAACATCTCTTGCTCTTTCTTCTTGTCCTTTGTTCGATGAGCAAGACCAGAAATGTGAACCTTATGGATAGTTTGTTTTGTAGGTGTCATATAATTGAAAACATCGTTGTCTTTAATTTTCTTCTGGGCAACTTTAGAAAGGATGTTTTTATTGAGTGATGTTCCTTTACCATTTATCTCTTGCAGCAGGCAAAAAGTTTTCACTTCTGTCAGGCTTTTTTATTAGAAGTTAATTGCATGCATTAGCATTTTAGTTTTGCATACCTACTATCTAACCTTGTATTTACATATTGCATATTAATTCATTAAAAATTTTAAATGTTATTTTACAGCATGTAGGCTTCTGTTCTAGAGGGTAATATAGCAGATCTGTGCAATCTGTTCTGAAGGGTGATATACCAAATCTAAAACAATTAAATTATTTAAATGAAATTCTATATACAGTACACAACACAACATGAAATTTTTGCTGCCCTACGTATGCTGGTGGGCAAAAACGACATAAACCTAGGGCCTAAGACTGTTTTAATAGAAGAGGTTTGCATTTAGAAGTAAAATGACATTGAGGCAGGAACTTGTTATACAAGTTTCATGTTCTATCTGAACCTGTTATTTTGCTTAGTTTCTTGCTTCATTTATATTTAAATACCACTGATTAGTAATTAATCATAAGGGTAAAAAGCAGAGGCATATATTTAAAACAGCTGATACAGATCTTATAAAAATTAAGTAAGTGGCATAAAATTATTTTTTGCCAAATGCAAAACATTCCTTTCCATGCAAGCAAAGCATATCCCAGCAGTGAATGTTGTGGATAAAGTGACAGTTATAGAGCTATATATAAAACAATGGTATATTTTATCTTGAAAAAACAAATATCCTCAGCCTACAAGTCAAAGCCAGAATGTTTACTGCTGGAGTCTAGACATACTGTTTCACACCCGAATCCATCTCATTGTTGGTGGCTTTAACAATTTGTTCCCTGACCTTTTCTATTAAAGTTTACACTTTCAGTCCAGATATTATGTCAAAATGACATGATTGTGTAAGCAGAGCATTAAAGACAATGGTGCATTTAAATATGTCAGCTTACCTCATATGAAGAGCTTATGTCTTCCAACTCTTCATATTTAAATAAGGAACATCTGACCTAAAGACATGTTGATATTTTCTGTCATAACTAGTCAAAAGATTTTCACTGTGTGCATAAGCATTTTTATATTTTTATTACACTTCAAAGATGTTTCAATTAACATTTATTTTATATATATATATATATATATATATATATATATATATATA